GAACTACTTGGGGGACACTCCCCTCCTCCCCCCTGCCCCCTTTGATCTCTCTCAACAGTTCCCCTCTCCCCTCTTGAATACCGTTGATTGGTTGCTTAAACTTTTACTAACTTTACCCCTTTATATTATTGTACACGCCTGATGATGAATTAATCGAAAACGTTCTGTTCGCCTATCTTGACTTCTTGAATGCTTTAATGGGTATCATCACTAAAATTAAACAATCCAAGTCCGCTTTCATCACTATGCCCCGAACCCAGTATTTTGCGCGCTTTGTGTTGTTGAAAGTTTAAGTTATGATGTGGCAATTTTTGTTCTGCCTAAATGTTTTACCTTCTTAAGCTTCGACTGACAAAGTGTTCAAATCCTGATTTGACAAATGGTGTTGAGAGCTACATGAAGGATTCTTTTAATATCTCACTGTTTAGGGACTCGAGTTTTCTATACCCGAGAGCAGTATTTTCGAGTCAAGCATTCTTACTTGGCACCAGGTCTCCAGACTTCTTTGTTATCGCAAACTCACACTGCTTGTTGTTAAGCCACACTACTTATATTAATTCAGTAGCACGCCTGGTGAGCCCTGGACGACTAACGTTCACTGGCGTCCTAGCGTCTATTCGTTTCCTGTAATTTGTGTTGATCCTTGAAATCCTGTTCTTCGTTAATAGTGATGGATCAAGATAAAACTTTAGCATAAAGCCCAGACGTTACATGAAACATTTTACATCTATGGCGCCACGAGTCAGACGAGTTTGTGACCTTGGTAAGCAGCTAATCAGAAATCCGAGCCCCCTCTTCTTGGGTTCCTAGGGCTAAGAAATGATATCAGCTAATAAACGGACTCTTAAAGGCCTAACATACTGGACTATTTGACCGAAGCGGCATCTAAAACTGAGACCCATGGAAACCGGACGTGTTTTAACCAGTGTACAGACGGACCCTTACTTTTAAGAATAAGACTGCAATTCGACTTTGCGGACACATGAAGCGGTTATACTATAGGACAAGACCTACTGGAGGGGGAAAATCTGACAGCGGCCCACTAAATCCATGTATAGATTTTTCGTTGCGTAGCATGCGGTGCGCAGCCCAGGCCATCTAACGCGACCTGCTCCCAGTCAATGTCGTATGCAGACTGTTTGTAGTCAGAACCTTTAAGAGCTGTTCATTTATCGCTGTCAATTCACTGGTTTCGTGCTAAGTTCTCAGATACGTAAAAAGGCGCAAAAAATACGGATGGAGTGCTGTTGCATGGCTCTTCCTATTTCAACCCTTTGCATCCGTCTGATCTGCTAGTTTTAGATTTTGAAAAACTATTGACAAGGAAATCGTTTGGTAAATAAAGGGTAAGAATAGTTTAAGTAGTGCACCTCATATACCCCTAGTTCCGGTATTTTGTCCCATGGAAACGGTTGTTATAGGGGTTTCGGGGGTTGGAAAATAGGATAGGCAATGGAAAAATGTGTAGAAGTAAATGGAAAATGGAAAAACGTAGTTGACCTTGTTTCCCGCGGCCGCTGGGAGTAAGCTGTTCCGTGTGTAAACTGAAGGTGTGTGGCGCTTCGCGCCGGCGACTATGCTAATCTAACTTCAGAATGGTAAGATAGACCTCAGGTAAGTTGAGGCAGATGACCTTCTTATCATACGCTGCTTGTACCTGCTACGGCTTTCTGATTATGTCTCTGGTGACGAGTCCGCGACGGATCTCGAAACGTCAGGTGAATAAAAATATTCTCCCGGCGATCGAATCATCTTTTTCTCAATTATCCAAAGCCAATTGGCATCCAAAGCAGCTGAGCATTTGTCTAATTGGCTTTCCAGCAAACATTCTGGAATATGCATTCCGTTTAAACGAAATACATAAGTAAGGTTGCAAAATCGATTATCCTAGGGCTTATTCCAAGAAAATTCGGTCACGTCAGGATGCCGCCGTTTGACCGGGCCTCTTTCTGAGCACCTGCAAAAAATAATCCCTAAAAATGTCCGTTTAAGTAATATGCATGTTTGACATTGTTTCAATATCCGGCAACAGAAGCTTATGCAGCCCCACTCATTAATCCCTAAAACCTGCATGATTTCCTTCTAGAACGGTGTTTATCGGGTTTTATGGGCGGGGAATTAGGACACCCAGTGGAATTTACTTTAATAAATGCGAAATGCATTTTTATTTTACTGCATTTAGAAGTGTTGTTGATTTATATTTGTAGATTTTCCTAATCTCTATTATCGTTTAACCTATTGCGGAAAAACCCGATTATCGAATTGCAGGTTTCTTGAATTTCCTGAAA